TGAGACCTCACTGTATCTTGGAGCATTGTTCGTATCTTCTCTGCTTGATGAAATGCTTCTGAAGGTCTGGCGGTGTTGCTCTGGGAACATGGCACCCAGCTCAAACAGGTTTCAGTGCACAGGTGCCCAAAGGTCTCCTCAGTGGGACACATAATGTGTGAGTGTGGAGAAAAAAGTTGCTAACCTGAGTGGTATTCGCATCACCAAGCACTGAACACACATCTTAACTAAATTAGGAGGCTGGTCTCCCTAGGTAATTGAGGTAGCCTGTTTGAAAGGGTGACTGCCAGACAGCATGGAGATACAGGCTCACATGTAACCCTCTTAGCTGGACTGGAAGACTGGCTTGATTCTCAGCAGGACAGCACAAGAAACTTCTGAGCTGGATGAAGCTTGTAAATGCTGCTGTCCAGGATCACTTGCTAGTAACAGGACAATTTAGCTAAGGAGATAATGAAGAAAAAAGAAGCCAGGACATAACAGGAATTTAAGTAAGTAATTGCAGGGTTGTTATTTTTATTCTTGCAGAGTTGCAATCTGCTCAACATCCAAAAGTGGATAGAGCTGCAGAGTTCTGTCATTGTCTTGTGTTGTGCTCTTGCAACCTGGACGATTACCTTTTGATGCAAATTCTCATAAACTTTGGTCTGTTTGATGTTTATATCTGAAATCTGGGGACTGAGATCCTGCAGTTCAGTGTTCTGTGCAGCTTTATTTTTCTTAAATAAGAGATACTGTGCACGTCCTTGTGCTTGAGTCTTGATTTCAAACCAGATTTAGCAAAACATGAGAAAAAGAAAAAAACTGAGACATAATAATTTTCCTTAAGGTCTAATATGTTAGGTTATCGTAGGCAGCAACTGCTCCTGATGAGGGTAGGCTGGTGTAAGTTTTTTCAGAGATTTACTTTAGGGAGACTCCAGCTCTTTGACAGTTATGTATTAAAGAGATTGTTGTGACCTTAAAGTACAAGAAGTGACTTTCCCAAGATTTTTCTTAAATTAAGAGGGAATCTGGATTCTAAGTAAGCAGAGTTTAGGGATAGAAAAGCATTTTCTTTTAATCACTTCTTGCTATTTCTAAAATAGGGAGTGCGGAATAAGTTGCTGATGCCTAACACCAGAGGATCTAAATGAGAGAAAGTAGCAGTCTGGTCATAAACTTCCTGTACAGCAGGTCTGGCCCGTGGACCAGCTAACTGACTACATCACTGCAGAGGTAATGTTTGTGTGCTGGCAATGTGGTTTTGTTTCTTCAAGGATAAAATATAGCTGTTGTCAAACAAGTGCTGTTGCTCATACTGACCAGCTCTAAAACTCTGGAGATGGAGAAAGATCAGTAAGTACAGATTGGATAAAGTAAAATAAATATTTTCAGGCTTTTAAAATACTAACAAAATAATGGAAGGATGAAAATAATCTCTGAAGGGATAAACACTGTTGACTGCACTAGTAAAGAGCAGGGCTACTAACAAGTGAGTTTGTTCTTTGCCTTGCTGAAGTTTCAGAAATATGTCTGCAGGTATCAGTCAACAGAGAATGGTTAAGGACATGTGAGTGGTTTCGTGTGATTTCATCCAGACAGGAAATCTGTGTTTGAGACCATGAGGAAAAGACAATTGCGAATTTGGGCTTCAAGGGCTTTTGGGGACATGCTCAAGGGAGGATGCTGTTCATCTCTATGACCAGGGCTATGAGAACACTACCATCTAGTAATCTGGTTGATGTAATGTCTTTCCCTTGGGGCTATGCTCACATTTACCCAAAGACTGAAGTGGGTGCTGAAAATGTATACTTGGCTAACAGTGTAAGAATTTCTGTCTTTAGGATTGTGACTTGAACCCATCCAGCTTGACTTCCTTATACCACTAAATCACAGACAGCTTTTTGTGTGGATTGCAATAGCTCATATTTGAGTTCAATAATGTGCTGCATAGAAAGGCAATCAACCTGAATGCAATGCCATGAAGTGATGGAGAATACACCCTTCTTTAGTATTTTGTTCCAGGGTATAATCATTCTGTAACAAATGTGAACCAGACAATTCATTAGGATTTTTCTAACTCCAGCTTTCAGCCATTGTTCTCATTCTTACTATGCCTTTCTCCACTTGATTAGAGCCCTTAGTACTAGCATTTTTCTCCCCGTGACAGAACTTGCACTCTGTAATCAAATCCCCTCTCAACAACCTGTAACAGCAAAAAATACCAGTAGTGTATTTAAGTTAGAATATACTCTGTTCCTCTGAAGAGGTAGTAACCAGTGATTTTAGCAGTTCAGGAATATGAATCATCTTGCCACTAATCCAATTCCATCACAAATTTTCCAATTCCCTTTGTTTTTCCTTCACATAAGTCCCATGACATGGATGCACTGGCATCTGCTCTGCTCTGTTTGTGAGTTTCCGTGTAGAGTTGAAGGTGCTAAGGTTGGCTGTACGAAAGTAACAGCCTAATCAGTGCTTCCTTCTCTGTGCTGTATCTGTGAATACTCCTGACCTGAAGCTCCTCTCTGTGTCAGAAATGTAGGGATACTCTTACAAGCCGCTTCAGCTCCATCCTGCTTTGCTCCATATTTGATGGCTGTCCTTTCCTAAATATAATTGCTTTCCAGAGAAGCATTTGATGCATGATACTAAGTTCCTTAATTTTGCCTTACCTGTTAATCTCATTAACATCTTCTGAACACAACGTTCGCTGCAACACAAGACTAGTCATTGGGGTCTGTATGCAATGCCCATGGGCAGCCCAATCAGTGAGCAAAAAGTGGAACAGGCTTTGGAGCAGACTATACATAGGTGAGGGATTCTGGATTCTGTGGTGGCTTCTGTGGAATTCTTTGAGTCATAGAATCATTTGAGTTGGAAAAGACCTCTAAGACCACCTAGTCCAACAGTCTACCTACCACCAGTATTGCCCACTAAGTCATGGCCCTTAGTATCACGTTTCTTCAACCTCTCCAGGGACAGTGATGCTACCACCTCCCTGGGCAGGCTATGCCAGCGCCTGGCCACTCTTTTGGATAAGTTTTTCTAATATCTGAAACCTTCATCCTTCAGCCCAGCTGCGTTCACTGCCTGTCTGCTTTAACCCATTGGTTTTGCCTTCACAGCTGGCCAAGATCTGTGGTCTTGCTGAAGCCATTTTGCTCCTGATTTTATTTTATTATTTTCAATTATACCCTGATTTTCTCCTTTTGGACTATGGGATATTCTAGGTGAGTAATCACTTGACCACATTATTGTACATTACGTGAATTCTGAAGTAAGTGGGAATGTGAAGAAACAGAAACAGTTTTTTCAGTATAACCTTCACCATGCAGTCAGTCAAATCTGAACTGCACATGCTTTTAAGAGCTTAAAAAAAAAAAAAAAACACCAAAAAGATTTCTCAGATTCAGACATTAACTGGAACATCCTGCATTAATGCAAGCGAATCTGTTTCCGTTACTGACACCATAGAATCGTAAAGGTTGGAGAAGACCTCTAATATCCTCTAGTCCAACCATCAGTGAATCCCCACCATACTACTGACCACATCCCTTGGTGCCACAACTCCACATGTCTTGAACATCTCCAGGGACAGTGACTCCATCTCTCTGGGCAGCCTGAGCCACTGTTTCACCACTCTTTCAGAGAAGAAATTGTTCCTAATATCCAACCTGAACCTCCCCTGGTGCAACTCGAGGCCGTCACCTCTCTCATCCTATTGCTGTTACTGGGAGCAGAGGCTGATCCACACCTTCCACAACCTCCTTTCAGGCAGCTGTAGAAAGCAATAGTCTCCTCTGAGCCTCCTCTGCTCCATCTCAGTTCCCTATAGCATCTTTGCAGACCGATTCTCCACACAAAAACATCACTTACATGTTGGGAGTTTCGTGTGTCATCAGAAGTGATGTTGGCTCCTCTCCTTCCCGGCGCGTTGCCCAAGCAGCACTGAAAATCATGCTGACTAAAAGTGCCCTTTTCACCTGCTGGGGTTCCTCCTGCATATCTGCCAGGTTAGTGGCGCAGCCCAGCCCTGATGTCATCAGTGCCTGGCCACAGCTGGGACTGCTTGAGCTCTGAGCAGCGTGTGACAAAGCAGGCTATGAGCAACGCCTGAGCAATGCGGTTGGTTCCCAGGTAGGTGTCAGGTTTTGTTTAAATATGTATCCCAGATACAGTTTTGGAGGTAAGAATTCTGAAATCATGACATAACGCTGCCGGCAGGTGCATGTGAACCCTTAGCTGTCATTTTATTATTATTTTGGAGCACTTTTGCAGTCTTACTACGGATACGTCAGGCTGGAGCCGCTCTGGTAATAAACACTTTTGTCTCTTTGAAGGCTTCTCTTTTTAAAACAAAATGTCTCTTGGTCCTTCTTCTCTCTGAGGTGGAGCTTTATAGGGAGCAGGGCGAAGCCCTTTTCAACACGGGGAATTTTGGAGCTATTTTACTTCCTTTGAAGACGGGTGTTGTTCCTGAAGCCACTTCTGTGCAATAGGAAAATCAGCCGGGGCTGAGCAGGAAGCTGTGAGGTCGGCAGCGCATTCCAGAACATCAGAGAACACCGACCCGTCCTGCACAGCCCTGCACAGACAGCTCTGTGTGCTGGGACGGCGCAAGGAGCTGGATTTGTGGCTACGAGCTGATCTGAGGGTGGACCTAGCTTGCCTTTGTAGAGTTTATAATTGTGTCAAATTTACTGGGCATTGGTATTGGTCCTGTCTGCCACACGCGATCCGGCATGCAAAGCCGATGTTTCCTAAACCACCGCGTAGTGCTGCAGATTAACAACAAGGGCACTGAATATTAAGGCCCAAAGCAGAGCGACTCAAACTGGCTCGAGCGCTTCCCGGCCGCCCGCGGGGACAGAGGCAGGTGCCGTCCTCAGGCAGGCTGAGGAGAACAGAACGGCCCTCAGGGCAGAGGGCGGGAAGCGAAAAGCGCGGGAAGCGCGCGGGGCAGCCGTTGGGGGGCGGCTGTGGGCGCGGGGCGCGCGCCGCCGTGAGGACGGGGGACAACAGGGCGGGGTGGGCGTGACCGGCGTGTAACCCCGCCTCTCGGCACCCCGCCCCGCCCGGGCAGCTGTCAGAGGAGGCGGCGGCGACGCGGCCGGTCCCGCGGGCAGGCGGCCGAGGCGGCGGCGGGATGCAGCGCTGAGGCGGTCACCGCGCGCCGCGGTCGCCTCCCGCTAGCAGCCCATGATGTGTCTGGAAAGCGACGGCTCCTCCGGCAGCAGCCCGGGCTGCGGCGGGCGGCTCCGAGCCGGGGACGAAGAGGAGGAAGAGGACGGCGAACGGGGCTGCTGCGGTCGGGGCGCCGAGGGAGAAGTGCAGACCCTGTCGGGCAGGATGAACCCGCCGGCGGTCGGCAAACGCCCGGAGCGCCCGATCGTCCGCCGCAAGGCACCCAGCCTCGGCCGGGCCCGGGTGGCGGCCGCCGGCATCCTCAGCGTGGGCAACGTGCTCAACTACCTGGACCGGTACACCGTGGCAGGTGAGGCCTCCGCGCCCCTCCGCCGAGCCGCCCCGGGGCTCAGCAGGCGGGGCGCTGCGGGCCGGAGGTTGGCGGGGCAGCGCCGCAGCGGTTCGCCGTGCCGGGGCGGGGGTGTGGAGGTACGGGCGGTATTGTTCTCTAGTTAGCGTGAATTTTAACGCCGACCCAAAGAGGAGCCCTTTGTTCGTCCGGGCGGTGCGGTCGGGAGGCAGCGGCGCTGAGGGACGCCGGTATCGATCCTCGGTGTGCGCAGCGCTGACAGGTGCAGCTGCCGCCGGGTCAGCGCCATCCGCAGCCCGACAGGAGATGGTGTGTGCGGTATTGTGTCTGCGGGAAGCCGGGCTGTCTGTCCTTCAGGAGCTCCCTGCCCTCCTTCCTTCAGACTCAGTGCTCTACGGCTCTGAGACAGCGCGCCTTAGGATGCTCGCAGTGCCGGTATTCCCCGCTTGTTGGAGGAAAATGAGAACCGAAGTTGTGCTGATTTGTAAGAAGAAGAAAAGAAGGCTGCGAGGTGACCTCATTGCAGCCTTCCAGTACCTAAAGGGAGCCTACAGACAGGAGGGGAATCAACTCTTTGAAAGAACTGCAGGACAAGGGGAAATGCTTTTAAGTTGAGGGAGGGAAGGTTTAGGTTGGATGTCAGGGGGAAGTTCTTTACTATGAGAGTGGTGAGGTGCTGGAACAGCTGCCCAGAGAGGTTGTGGACGCCCCGTCCCTGGAGGTGTTGAAGGCCAGATTGGATGGGGCCCTGAGCAGCCTGGTCTGGTATTAAATGTGGAAATTGGTGGCCCTGCGTGTGGCAGGGGGTTGGAGCTTCATGATCCTTGAGGTCCTTCCAACCCTGGCCATTCTGTGATTCTGTAATGAAGGGGGCTCGGTGCTGTCCAGCCGTCTCGTGTAATTAAAAAATAATGCATATTCTGTGTTTGGCAATACTGATAATTTTATCTTTAGAGCTTATAAAAAGTGCAAGTGTGAATGTTGCTCTGTGCATTGTACACGTTTTAATCGCTAGGACTCGATGTGGTGTTAAACAAATGAGAGTATTTGTTTATGCTGCATTAAAATAATGTATGTTTGTAGGGCAGTAATAGTGTGCACAGAATGCATCTTGGCGTTATTGTCACAGTATGTTGGCCGGAGTGGTTTGGTTTTGTTTGGAGTAGGGAGGTGGGGAGGGTTAGAGTGAAAATTTACCTGTCTGCTTTTGTGGCTTTTTATTATGGTTTTTAGGCAGGGCTCAATCCTTCAGTAAATGCGAAGGCCCAGTTGGGAGATACTGAGTACTGGCTCGGTGTGATGCAGGAGGAAGCCTGAAGATGCAACATTGCTCTGTTATTACTGAAGCAAATTGTAGTTTGCTCTTTTACCCTCAAATGGGAGTCCCTTTAGTACACGGGTTGACCACAAAGCACCATTTTCCTTTAACTTGTGGAAAGTTTTCCTTTGATGGAAGCCATTCCTTCTCACACATAGGTGAACACAATAAGGATTTAAAAAAACACATAAGCAGTGTATTTGTTGTAGCACTTCCAGCAATGGCTTTCTCATCTTGCCTTTTTTTTGTCATCAATGCGTGGGATGTGCTCGCAAGGGACGGGAGAAGCATCCTGATTTGTGGCAAGGCTGCAAAGTGCCTGACCGAACAGAGGATAAAGGCACCTGCCTGCTGTGATGCTGCATTACCAGAGCTACAATTGCCGGTACTTTTAGCACAAGCTCTGGCTCTGCACTGCCCATCAGCTGCCCTGGGGAACTTGCTGGCTAGCTTTCAGCTCGATAGCAAAGGTTTAAGTTCTGAAGCATCAGAGTTTGCTTTAGGGGCAGGATCATTTTGCATCATCTTTTTGTCTTGTGCTGGTTGGTGTATATTTCTCAAACTGGTGTTTTATAAAATGCTCATCTAAACAAGGAATAATTTAAATCCAGGCTAATAGAAGAATTGTGGTAATAAGGATTATGTATTTTTTGTACTGAAAACTGTCTTTATAACAAAGTCTTCTTTAAAAGCTGTCTTCGCTATTATTTTTGTGTCTCAGTGCATACTGCATGCTTATGTGACGTGCACTTGCATATGAATCAGGCCAGCACTTTGAATATTCAGTTTGTGTCTCAAGACAGGTAATAATTAGTGAATACAGCTCTTCAGACCTTCAAAGTACTTTGCAAATATGAATTGTTGCAGCAACATAATAAGGCAGTTTAACACTAGCCTCATTACAACAGGGGAAGTAGCATGAGAAGTTATGATTTAACGAAGGCCAGCAAACTGCTGTGAGAAGTGGTGCGAATTCCTCGTTCTGGCTGTGTTTGCAAAGAGTTCAGGGAGCAGCAGAACTGATGGAAATTGGGTGCTGAGGGTCGGTGTGTTCACGGCTTCTCTGAGGCCATGAGGTGTTGTTCTTTGTCATTAACCTTTCTCTTGGCCTGTCCAGTGAGTCTCACCTGGACACAACATTTTCCTTCTTTCTTTTTTATATGAAGAGAAGTGTTGAGAGCTTTTGGGACTTCTTCCTGCTGTCAAATTTAGCCAAATGCAGGAGTCAGGGGACTGCAAAGCAGTTAGCAGGCAGCTGGCAAACAGGCGTTACAAAAACCAGAGAATGGGGTTGTGTGGGCACAACGTTACAAGTACACCTTCTGACTTAATTAAAAAATTCCTTTCCAACTGTTTTGGTTGTTCTGATCACAGATGTACATTTTTAAAGCAAATTTATATTTAGTCAATAGGAACAAGGGGATATATGGAGTTATTTGTTACAAGTGTAGTTTTCAGAGCATCTTCCTCTATTTTCGAACCAAACAACTCAAGTTACGTAGTATGCATCCAGTCAATGCAGAGAGACTTTAGATCATAGAAAGCATTCTTCAGGCTGACCTTTCCTATGTGAGTATGTCTTCCTGCTCACCTATCAGCAGTGAGGAGCAGAAGTGTGTTTTTGCTGTTTATACTCTCACTTCTAAGTACAGAGATGGGATGTAACGAGTTTTTGAGGGCGATCTTTTTCAAGTGTAACAAAGAAAATAGGCACCTATTTCCTAGTTTTGATTTTGATGACTTCCCATTACAGATGAAACAGTTTTAGGATGAGTTTTAGTATCTGGGACGTTCTGTGACAGAACTGGAGTGCAGTTTGAGAGATGGGACACATTTAGCTTTGTGCCTTACACTGAGGCGCAGCTCTGCTGAGAATACCTGATGAAACCGGGCCTCTGCTGCCGACTGGCTGTTTCCAATGGTTTAAAGATAAGTTTCTTCTGCTACCTTCAAAATGAAAAGCCTGAGCAGTAGCAGGGCATCTTTCAGCAATGCCCCGATGTTTGCCTAGGTTTGAAAGTTCCCTATATTGTGCATGGGGGATGTTAAAGTACAGTGATAACTGGGAGCAGCTCTCCTAGTCAAAAAGTCGGAGTGCCTCTTCTATGTCTCTTATGAAGGAAAGATTGAAAACTCTGTGCTGAGCATTACTGACTTGAAGGGAAATAATCCTCTGCAATTTTCTTAATAGGTCTTTGATCATACTGAAAATGGTTGCCTGTGGAAAGAGTATTCTTTCAAGAGCTGTGATATTTTGCTGCTATTAGAAAACAAAGAACAAGGAAAAGGGAAGATTAGCAGTAATGAAATCACTGTAGATCACCTGTGACATTACAGCATCTAGTGATGCTGGCATGTATCCTCTTCCTTAATGAAGGTTTGGGAAAAGTCATCTTACCTTCAGAAGTTTGGAATGTGGTTTCACAATTATGCTATGAATGACCTTTTACTGTGCCTGCTGTTGATGGTGAAAATAGTCTTGCTTCATTACAGTGTCATCCCCACCTTCTAATTCAGGTGCTACTTCCTGGCATTTCTGTAATGCCTTTAATTTAAAGGTAATGATTTAATTAAGTTGGAGAACTACCTGGCAAAGTAAATGAGTCTTACAATCCCACTGTAGAAGGGGAAACAGAGTTGCAGTGTTGGCAATTTGCCCATGGTGATGTAGTTAGTGGTTGCTGTTAGTCTATCCTTGAGATTCTTTCTCCCTGTGACGCAGTAAACCGTAGGCTTTGGTCTGGAGTTTTTGTCTTGTAAATGTCTGTAACTTGCTAATAACCATATTTGTGTTAATTAGCTTCTCATTACAACACACAGTTGCAAATACCATTCTTTGAAGAGGCATACATGCAAATGACTACTGAAAGTGGAAAGTCGAGTTTAAAGCTATGTAGTACAGGCTGTAACTGAAGGGTTAGAGAGGGTTCAAAACTAACTCCAAATCCAAGATATTCAAGAGTTTATATGTCAAAACTGCTTTCTATTACTTGGGAGTTCATATTTGTGATAGCAATGTGTTTCTTTAATAGGTGAAATCTTAGATTGCATGAAGATCTTTTGGTATGAAAGATCTCATTTATGTAGTGGGATAAAGGGAGCCCCCAGCTGTAACAAGACTATGTTCAGTGCTTATACTTTCAGGGAGGGAACCATTAAGTGGCACTGCAAGCTCTCTGCTTTTCCTCTCTTGTTGAGATAATCTCAGTCCTGCTATTACCTAGGATTCAGCTGTGGAAGGAGTTCAGTGCTGGAAAATGTTAGAAAAGATTATTGGTTGAACTTGCTTGAGCCAGCAGTGTTAGCTAGCAGCTCACAGATGTAGGAATCTGGGAAAGGATAACAATACTTTGGGCGATAGGTACTTGTTACTGGCTCAGAATTCAAGAAGCACTGCAGTGAGAGCAAAAGCTAGAAGGACTGATGGTCATGCACTTCGAAAACAAGCAATAGAAATCACTTCAACACAGTGGCAAAGACTGTGTAGTAGCATCTGGTTCTCTACTGTTATGTTTTCCCTACACGATGGGCTTTGCTGCACAGTCAGCTACTTCCTCTTTGCTGGTCCTTATGCGAGTTGGCAGGATTTCTTCCTGAGTATTTTGCATTTCAAGTGAAGTCTTATTATGTTTAATCATAGTATTTTTCTTCCTTGTGATGTAGATTTGCCAGATAGTTGCTA